GGACTTCACAAATAGCTTGCCAGAATGATTCAACGTCTGGTTTTTGTTTGGCCAACATATACCAGTTTATGTTAAGTAAGTCGTTATTAATCGAAATATAGTCAGCTTTATAGAAATTGTGAATACTAGATAGTTCACCACGTTTGGAATTCATCAAATTACAATTGAATAGTATGGTGGAATGTTCGCAATTGCTTGTGAATGGAGCAGCTGTTCCACATTGTAAACAATTTTTTTATTATTTGTTAAGATGAGGTCTAACAAATTATTAAGTCGAGTATTGTCAGTTACGAGTTAGGTGAGAGCATTTACAAAACAAGTTTCTACGAAAAAATCATGGCATGCATCACCAAAACTGATAGGAATCGACCAGTCTATACGTGGTAAATTAAAATCAATGGTTATTATACATGCAGAATCACACGTTAACAGAAAATTGGAAATCAACTTGCACATGGATTTGGTTTTTACAATGTTAGAAGAAGCACAAGGTGGGTGGTAAATACACAAAAATCTTATCTTAACGTGGTTTGAACGAGCACTTATGTCGACACAGGTAAATTCTGTGTTTTGAAGATCGTTGGGAATTTTCGGATGAATTTGGACTGATTGGATATCATTGTGAACCAATATAAATGAGCCACCACCTTTATCGTCACGGTCATGTCGAAAAACTTTGGCTGTTTCCATTTAACAACAACGAGTCTGGAGTAGAGGTGTTTAGCCAAGTCTCTGTGATGAGGATGATATCATGGTTGTCATATTGGAGAAGGTTGTGTAGATTTTCTAGCTTATTGTTCATAGATCTTGTATTAAAATATGCAAAATTTAACATTCTGACAGTGGTTTTCATGATGGGAGAAGATTGTAGTGGTCAATCATTCGATAACTTTTTATGCATAGTTTTTCCTTTTGGTGATGCAAATACGTAACGTTTCTCGTTTCATGGTTCTTCAACGTTGCTTCAACAGCAAATTTGTTTAGTGCAGCGGTGATCCACATAACAAAAAGGATTATCAAGGAGGCCTGTTTTATTAAGTTCGTTGTTATGTGCTTATAACGTTTTGCGTTGCCCTTTGAATTCCGTTTGTTGTGCCGGGGTTAGGTCTTTGCGAACAAAAACACCTTTAAACTCATCGACTGAGTGGCGATAGCACGATTCAAGTACCTCATTTTGTCCATATTATTTATTACTAAATGGCATAGTGTAGCTAAAAGTTGTCCATTAAACATTAAATATTGTTCTAAGGGTTTATATGGTACTTCTTTTCCAGAACAAATAACCCAATGAAGATATTGCAATCAGATTATAGGCATGTGAATAAAAAATAAACTTTTCACAAGAGCACAGTTTACCACATAAGAGTGGACATTTAAGATATGGTATTGAAGATATATAACATTTTGGTATTTGTTGAATTTAGAATATTTATGTCACGTACCTACTATATATCCTTATGATATATTACTAAGCAATAATTCTAATATATATCTAAGCAATAATTTTGCTAGATGCAAGCGAAAATGATTTATATAGATATAATTTCATAAAACTAACAAATGCTTACAAGTAAAAAGATATTTGACGCCGTTAATTTAATACAGATAAATGAAGTTGAAGAATTCAATCACAGAATTCTTTAATAGAATTAAAGTAACATAGAAATGATAGCAATGAAATTTCGCGTCTGGTTAAAATTAATATGACAGGTATAAGTAAACAACTAAAAAAAAACTTAAAGAATATAGATAAAATTCTAAAAAAACAAAAGAAAAAACCAATAGTTTTTCAAATTTAAATATTTGGAAAACCAATTTATTTTTGTTTCTTTTACAAAAAAACAAAATTATTTTTTGAATATTTCATGAAGACTTTTTGGTTTTCTGTTGAACCAATTGATTTCTAGATAAACAATAAAAAACTATTTTTTGTAAGTACCAAATGAGACTCCCAGCAGCAGGTTATTTCAGTATGATGTCAGACTGCTTATCTAAACATGCATTTATAGCATTTAAAGTTTATTTTGGGCAATGAAAATAAGACAAAAAATGTTTAAAAAAAGTTAAATATCAAGTAAAACATATACCAATGTTTTAACATTTGATATAGAAAATTTAAAAGAATCATTTTTTGGTGCAGTTTGCAATAGCCTTTTGTTTAATTATTTTGGATTATTAATTGTTCATACATAATCTAGACGGGTGTACACAAGTTAAGTTGTTCAAAGACTGACAATGCCTGTAAAAAGTTTTTAAACAATTTTTACTATATATATATATATATATATATATATATATATATATATATATATATATATATATATATATATATATATATATATATATATATATATATATATATATATATATATATATATATATATATATATATATATATATATATATATACATATATATATATATATATATATATATATATATATATATATATATATATATATATATATATATATATATATATATATATATATATATATATAAATATATATATATATATATATATATATATATATATATATATATATGTTGAATTTGTAATTTTAAAACATCAAAGAAACATAGTTTTTGTTAAAAAGATGTACATAGTATATTTTCTAATAAGACTTAGTAAATAAGAAAAGTTTTGAACTCCACACAAAATATTGTTTGTGTTAAAGATCAGAGAAAATAAGAGAAAAAATCTTTTATATCTTTTAGAAGGTATTTAGACAATCAAAAAGTCGCTGAGAGTATTATTTTTTCAAAGCATCAATTTTTTGGTACTTTTTTTCAGCCAATCGTTATCGCAATAATTTAGACCTTCCTATATTTATGAACGGTAATGTACTCAATGAGTCATCTACCCTTCATCTTCTAGGATTAACTCTCTCTTCTGATCTTTCTTGGAAACCTTATATCAAATCCGTTGCAAAATTAGCATCTGCTAAAGTTGCATCTCTTTATCGAGCTCAATACTTTCTTACTCTGGATTCTATTCTCTATCTCTATAAATATCAAATCCGACCTTGTATGGAATACTGTTGCCATATCTGGGGCGGATCTCCTAATGATGCCCTTTCTCTTTTAGACAAGGTGCAAAAACGCATTGTAAACATAGTTGGACCTTCTCTTGCAGCCAACCTTCAACCTAGTGTCTCTTGTGCCATCTACTAAAATTCATTCTCGTGTTACTCATCATTCAATTAAGTCTCATCCTTTTTCTGTTACTGTTCCTAAGTGCTCCAAAAACTCTTATTCGTCTAGTTTTTTTCCTCGAACATCAGGTCTTTGGAATTCGCTTCCTTCATCTTGCTTTCCTGAATCATATAATTTGCAATCTTTTAAGTCATCTGTCAATCATTATCTTGCTCTACAACCTTCATCTTTTTTCTTCCAGTAACTTCCAACACTGATTAGTGCAAAGATGTTTAAAAAAAAAAAAACTCAAATATAGGATTGTAATTGAGTACAATGACCATTTAGATATTGGGGCCAATTAGACATTGTCCAGGACTTTGTCCCTGTACCACCACATAGTATTGATGAATTTTTATATGATATTTCAGTTCATCTTCATCAGATCCAGTGATGTTGAGTGAAGATGGTCTAGATGGTGATTACTTTTATATTATCTGGAATTTAAAAATGCTCGCATAGTTTTAACCTGTTTATTGACACTTAAAAGATATATTTATTGATATAGAACAAGAGACCAATAAATTTTTCAAGCATGAAGATGATTTTATAGTCCTAATATTGGTGGTCTAATGAATGAGTTTGGAGTTAATTACACAAATGAAGAATTAAAAAATGTTTCATTAAAAACAAACCTAAAAGTTTTTTACACAATTGTTCTTATGCTCACTATTCAGCTTGTATAAAGCATAGACATCTTTTAAAAAAAGCTATGCTGCCTAAGTAAGCTATGCTATATATTTATTATATATCAGAGATTTTCTCTTTCTCCAGATATTTAGGAATTCTGGATATTTTTTTCAAATTTAAGTTATTCCGAATATACAAAACATTTTCTATACATACAAGTTTAGGTATAAATTTTTGTAATATATTTGTTTTTTAAGCTTTTACACTCATTACTCATAAAAAAATTATGTTTGAAAAAAAAAATTAGAAACAACTCAGCTAAAACCAAAATTAAGTGGAAAATATATTTGGGAAATTTTGAGGATATTTTACCCAAATAATTTTTTTGGATTTTAAAAATATAACCTGGATATATGCTAGCTATGCAGCTATACTATAAATTTGGTAATGTAAGTCAAGAGCAAGGAAAATTGTTTCACCAGGACTATGAAATGAAGAAATGACGTCAGGGGCAGTGTATTACTGCACATCAACTCACTATGTATCAATTTAATACAAACTAATTTATGAAATGTTTATTTCTCTTGTAACTTTGTGGTATATTTTGTTGTTCTTAATTAAGTGACCATATTTAAAAACAACAAATCAAGCTGCAATAGAGATAAAATTACAAAGGAAATAAATACTTAAAATATTGTTTTTTGTATTAAATTGATAGATTTGTGTTTAAATAATGAACATTCTTTAATTTAACAAAAATTATGTATATATTTATATGTAATCTATTTAGCCAATTTGAAAATAAAATTCAAGTCATATTGTTAGAGAACCATGAGCGTTACAAAAAAAATAAAATTCAAGTCATATTGTTAGAGAACCATGAGCGTTACAAAAAAAAATAAAATTCAAGTCATATTGTTAGAGAACCATGAGCGTTACAAAAAAAATAAAATTCAAGTCATATTGTTAGAGAACCAAGAGTGTTACAAAAAAAAATAAAATTCAAGTCATATTGTTAGAGAACCATGAGCGTTACAAAAAAAAATAAAATTCAAGTCATATTATTAGAGAACCATGAGCGTTACAAAAAAAAATATAAGATGCATTCTCAGGACCAGAAAATACATAAGTTTTGTTCAAAAGGTTTTACAAAAATTTTCTTAATTATTTTTTAGCTTTTGATATCATTTGATTCTACTACAACTGAAGCTAGATTAACTAGCCTCTCTATGAGTGTTGGTAAGTAGCTGTTTACTAATATTGTAATCATAGTAAGTAGCTGTTTACTATGAATTTTGGTAAGTGACTGTTTACTGTGAATGTTAGTAAGTAGTTGTCTACATTTAATTTGAATAAAAAGAATTTTGTTTAAACTGTTGAAATTTTTTTTTTAATTTATTTTTAAAATTTATATTTATAAATAAATTTTTTTATATTAGCTGGCAACGACAGTGCATGTCATTCAGTACTTAGTTATACAGTATTTACAAATGGAATTACTTGTAGGTGTAATGAAAATTCTTGTCCCAGTCCTAATACCCAATGTATTGTATCAACAATTGATCCATCAATCTACCCATGTATTTGTCTTTCTGGATACACTAAAGATGCTTTGGGAAACTGTGTTGGTAAATGTTTTTAGAAATATATATTTTTTGAAAATATATCAAAGTATCACATGCATTTTTTTCTTTTGGTTTGTTAATTTGTATATTTTATCTTTAAAATATTAGTTTTAACTAATGAAAGTTATAATTGTAAATTAAATATTAAGTTTTAAATATTTTTTCAATTAATTTAGAAAACTATTATAAAAACTTTCTATAAAAAACTGTTTCCTTATGAAACCTTTAATATGAAACCTTCTATAAAAAGCATATTCGATTTTAACACCTTGGGAGTTAACAAAAAAGCAAAGGAAAGATTTATAGAGCAAATTGATGGTTGAGGATAAGGGTGGCTCATAAAACAACATTTTTTGATATCAATAAACAACAACAACAAATGTCTGATGGTACCCTTTAATGGTGTTCTATATAATAAACTAATACGAAATTTTAAAAATTATTGAAAAAATTTTTTTTAGAGGTCGCTCTAGATCATTAAACATCAGACGGGTCCCTAATATTTCAAAAAACAAGTTCTATAAAAGCATATCAGGTTAGGTCTCAAAAGAAGTGAAGTTTTATAAAGTATTTTAAAAATAATAAAAATTGTTTGTTTAAGGGTCTTGAGCAACCTCTAAATTTTTTTTATTCAAAAATTTTTTAAATTTAGTAATAATTAATTACATAGAACACATTTAGGGGGTATTAACAGACATTTTCAAAAAATGTAGTTTTATGAGCCACCCTATTGAGGATAAAAAAAATGAAGATAAGTTTTAGAGCATAAATAGACAGTTGCAGTAAACAGATATGAACAACAGCTTGCCAGACCATATTAAAAAGCCTTTGATAGGTCAGAAACAATAACTCTTGTTTTTTTTATTTATTTCTTCTATCTAATTCTATCTTTATGTTTTTTTGCTTCTACCCAGCATAAAGGTTCTATTTTTTTAATAACAAGATACATTGATATCAAACAAGATACATTGATACTTTAGACCCACTAGGGTCAGTGGTATTAGAGCCAAGCCATTCTGTGTGGCAAGCATTGAAGTCACCTATCACAACCTTATTGATTGAAATTTAAAGAGAAAGGGTTTGGTCAATTTAAACAGAAGTTTTGGGAAAGAGAATAATAGGATTGTGATTATGGAAGAGATTTTCCAATATTCACATAATTGAAATATTGACAAAGAACACAAATTTTGATGTTGTAATGGTCGTCACAGTCGAATTTAAATCGGTGTCACAAAGAGTAAAAAAGTCTGATGGGATTTTCAAGACCGAGACTCAGACGGAAAGTTTCTTTAAATATAATAATGTAAAATAAAGTATAAAAAATAACATAAAAATATAATAAAGTAAATACCAAAAACATTTTGCATTACATAGAACCAATTTGGCAGTTAAATACTTTTAGGTATTGTAATCATATTTTATATTATTAGAGAACTTGACTTAATTTTAGATTATTGCATGATACTTTAAGCAATAAACCATGCTGACAATCATTGTAATCTTTTTTAAAATTCATTTATGAAGAATGCTGCATTTAAAAAAATGTCGATTAGTAAGTTTAAATTGAAATGTGATTTTAAAAGCTTATCTGAAGTTTTGTATTTAATAAAATAGTTAAAGTAGTTAAAATTTCATAAATTTTGAAAAAATGTTTTTGAAAAAAACATATTTGAAATAAAAAAAAATTTGTATTCAAATGCGTTCAATTTAATATTTGAATGTATTTTGTTCTGTAAACAAGCCTTCTCGTAAGAGTGTTCTGTAAATGTTTTTTTATTTGATATTATTTATAATTGTTAGACAAAGTACAATGACAAACTTTATTTATAATTCTTAGACAAAGTACAATGAAAATTTTTATTTATAACTGATATAATGTACAATGACAAATGATTAAATAATTTAGCTGATAAAGTTATTGGCAAAACTAATACAAAATAAAAATAATACAAAACTTATTAAAAAAAAACAATTTATAGACTGTATTATAATTGTCTTAATTTCATTTTAAGTGAGATTATTCATGAATTATAATGAGTTATAATTCATATAATGAATTATAATTATAATGAAGTTGAAAAATAAATGAAAAATTAGAACAATATTAAATCAAGAAAATAGCTTATTAACTATTTACATAAAGTTCCCTGAAAATTAAGATAAAATTTGTTAAAATATTTTTAAGTAAGGTATTGATATTGTTTAGGTGGTTAAATGTTTTTTTATGTGTCGAAAGTTAAGGTATTTAAAGTTAAAAATTTAAATTCTTTTACTTTTAAAGATATTAACGAATGTAATACCTTGGTACAACCATGTTTTTGGAGTAATGAAGTATGCATTAATACAAATGGCAGTTATCTGTGTACTTGTGATAATGGATGGCTGTTGGCTCAAGATAATGCCAGCTGTGTTGGTAAGTCATTGTGAATTGTTTTGAAGGGTATTTAGTTATTTATAATAAATCAATTTAATGAAGTTATTTGTTATTTATTAATAATATATTTATATTTTTTATTAATAATGCCAAATAAAACCATAATAATATACCAATAAATGACAAAATAAATAATATTACTAATATTGTGAAGTACAGATATGCTAGTTTAGTGCTTTTGGCCAAAAACATAAAAGCTGCTCTTTTATTACTAATAAATGGTAAAATCAATATTTTATATCTAATATTAAATTATGAAATAGTTGCCAACTTTTGAAATCTTCTTAAATGAACATCTAATTATGAAGGGAAAATATGAGAATGTCGATGTTAGATTGCTATAACAAAATCCTTTTAAAGGTTTTTTAAGCAAGATTCTTAAAAAAAATTTTGTTTGAAATTGCATAACCATCATATGTAAAAAAAAGGTCCACTATTTTCTATAACAGTATTGTAGTCAAGGTTTGTGTTTTGGAATTTAAAAAGTTTAGAGAGCCACAAAAATTTTTGGCCTTACTGCTAAAAAACTTTTTTTGCCCTTACTATTGGTTGTATTTTGATACCCATTTTGATGCGTATCATATGAAACGGCATAAAAACTACATGAATATAGGCTTATCTAAAACTACATGAATATAGGCTTGAGTAATTGTTAATATTGTCTTCGCAAGATATCTTAGTAAATATATCGTGCCAAGATATATAAACTTAATCTTAATATAAACTTAATCTTAATATAAAAATTGAAAATAACAACTCAGTGCATATGTTATTCTTCATGATTATTCATGATAATTTAAATATGCCATTATCAAAAAATAGAAGCAGTTTTTTACAACCCAATCAAAACTGAGTTTTATTTTTTACAACCCAATCAAAACTGAGTTTTATTTTTTACAACCCAATCAAAACTGAGTTTTTTTTTTTACAACCCAATCAAAACTGAGTTTTATTGTGATACTACTACTATAATGTTAATGTTTGTTCAAAATTTACTTATGAACTATAAAATAGTTTAAAATTTACAAACTTCTATACCCACAAATTAAATTATTTTATATCTCAGTTTATTTTCTTAAAGGTAATATCTCTTCACCATATCTCCTGCCTGAATACAAAATCAGTGTAACTCCATTGTTGTATTACCCAATGTAAAAATAATAATGTTATTAATTTTTTAAAATTAATTAAAAAAAAAGTTTTTTTAAGTTTACAGTTGAACAATTTTTAAAAGCATTTTTTTTTTGCAATATGTATTACCATATAATATAAATGCATAACACAATTTTTTAAATTTTCTAATAAAAAATGTATTCATATTTTTATTTCTTAAGATATTAATGAGTGTGAAAGGTTTACATCGCTATGTTCATGGAGTAATGGAGCATGTATAAATACAAATGGTAGCTATTTCTGCTCATGTAAGAATGGTTGGGCAATGGGTCAAGATAATTCAAGCTGTGTAGGTGAGTCATTTGAAACTATTTTATTTGCTCATTTTGTTTTTTCAATAAGAAAAAAGTTGTTTTGTTTTTCAGAATTGATGAAAACCAATTGTTGCAGTTGATTTATAAGTTTTAAAAACTTTAAATTTTTTTTAAATTTTTTTTTCTAAATTCAAATTAATTCTAAATAAGTATACCATTATTCTTTGACATTATCATCTCATTATCATTATTACATTATAATTATTGTTATTATTATTTAGTTTTTAGAAATATATGCTTTTATTTAGTTGATATATATTTGATATTTCTATTCTTGCTGATATTACAATTTTTATGTTTGTTTATTCTAATTATAAAATTAGGAAACTATATGTATGAGTAGGGAAACTATATGTATGAGTAGGGAAAGATTGCAAACTTTAGATAGTAATCCTTCTAGTGGGAGTTTTGCAATAAAAATACACTGTTTTGATCTACAAAACAAATGTTAGAAAATCTGTGTTATAAGATTTACGCATCGTTCTACTGCTTGGTTGTGACATGGAAACTTTTCAAAGTTCCACTCAGCTGCTGTTTCACCTGATTGAATCTTTGATCAAATATCTTTATCTGAGACTCTTTACAGCGGTGGCGGCGAAAGTATAGTAGTGTTTCAGTCAATCATCTTTGTATAGTTAGTAGCAAGGAAATTAATTTTGGGTGGTTGAAAATTCCTGATAAACTTTCTTTGAGAAGCTAGGCTTCTTTCCTTTATAATTCTTCTAAAACTCAATTCCTTAATATGAACCGGTTTGTCTGCTACCATTGTTAAAAGTAAGTTTTCTGAATTTTACCACTGGTAATTTCTCACACTTATTAAGCTGTGTGCCAACAGGACCGCTAAATGATTTTGGTCCTGTTGTTTCTATTTTTTTTTCAACTTTTTCACACTTACAGATAATAGAAACAGAACACTCACATTTACAAATTTCAGTGACCATTTTACATTTGCAGTCATGTTATTTTACACTTACATGTCGAGACATCAAACAATAAAAATGATTTTTTTAAAAAAATCTTTAACTCTCTTTTTGAGCTTTACTTTTTCTTTATCATGCTTGAAGGATTTTATAAGATTGCAATAACTGTCATGGTATTCATTAATTCATTGAAAAACTCTGTAAATTGTTACTGTGTGTATTGAAGTATTATCAAACACTGATTTAACTTGTTGTAGAACATAATTTGAAACATAAGAAAACTTAACTGGCCTGTTGTTTGATTTCAAGGCTAGTTTGTAATTTTCATTAAAAAACACTTGAGAACTTCTTCATAAGTTGGAAGTTTATTTACAGATAATTCTATTGGATGACCAAAAATTGGCAGTTAAATTTGCTAAGAGTAATTTTTTTAAAAACCGCCATGACAGATTGGTTAATATTATCAAATAATTAAAATAAAATTATATCAAAACAAGTTGTTGTGGCGAGAAACACACCAATTTTGCAGCGCATTTTGGGAATACTCTAATGTGAACTTTATTACAAAAATGATAAAAAGTGAATATTTATTCAAATATTCAAGTACACTAGAAGCGCTAGCTCCAGATGTAAAATACTTGTACTATTTTTTTTTATTTTCCTTAGATACCCTTGAGGCATGTTTTTTGCAGTATAGCATATCAAAAAAAAAATTTTTTTAGGCCCACTCTAATATATACATAAGCATTAAAAATATTAGCTCTAGAATGCCATGAAGTAATGGAATGAATTTACAAGTATAAATGGGAGTTATCTCTGTTTTCGTAACAATGAGTTAACCAGAAGGTGCGCATTCATAATGTTGTATCTCCAATGCTTCTCTCACATCTATACAGCTATTACAATGCCACCATATTTATTGTGTTTACATTGGCGGCACATAATGACACAAAGGCAGAGATTTTTGTTATATAGTAACACATCAATATAAGATTATTTTTAATTGTATATTGGATTTTATTTATATTTCCTGTTTATTACCTCCATTATGACTAATTACCACCTAACAAGTTAACTACTTAACAAGTTACAACCTAACAAGTTATGGACCTAATAGCCAGTATTTAATTTATTATTTGATAGAAATGAAAGAAAAATTGAATTATGGAAAATAAAAATACTTAGGTTATTTAAAGGTTTAAAAGATGTTGTCACTGGAACTCAAGAAAGTTGATGATTATGTAAATTGTGTTTGTTGAATTATTAGAGTGCTAAAAAATTAATTTTTTTATTTCAAAAATCACATTCATTTATAACAAGAGTGATGGACAAAATAAATGAAAGGTAGTATTCTTAATCTTTAAAAAGAACTATGCTGTTGTAAATATTGTAAAAAGTCTGTTCTAAAAATCACTATGCTAGATATTGTAAACCCAGAATTACTATATCATACAATCATTATAAAATCAATGTATAATGTTTTACAGTAATGATATAGCTTTTTGAATTTTTTCTGGAAAAAGATTTCCTGCATGATCAATGGACAAATTAAAATGAAGGAAGCCCTAATTTTTTCCTAATTTAAAAAAATAGATCACCACTCAATTATTATATGAATGATTATATATCTAACAAAACTGCTATAAGTAGTCTATTTACTTGTAAATATTTTATGAAATTTTTATGACTTTCCAGAATTTTCTTATACTTACATCATCAGTTTACAACTTTTTATAACATTCTAGTATATTCAAAGCATTGTAAAACTGTTTTGAACTTTTCAAAACTTCTTTAAATTTAAAAAAATTTTTGAACAAAGAATTTTTTTAATCAATTGAAACAGAACTTTTTGAATCAATTGAAAGCTTGATATATATATCTGACTTAAGAGACACTCTTAGGGGGGTGTTGCTAAAATTAGAATTGATATATATATCTGACTTGAATATTTATAAAAACACTTCTATGTGTAATACTGCTGTGCAAAAAAACAATGATATCTGAGTCAACAAACTGGATTTCAGCAGTCACAGAAAAAGAGAGGAACTGTACCTTTAGAATAATCATCATTAGAAGAAAAAATGCAGAATGTCACTCCAGCTTCAAATTATTGGACGATACTGATTTCTTAGATCAAAAAACAAAGTCATATAAGAGAGACATTTTTTATATAAGTTATGATACTGCAAAAGTTTGATTTTCCATTTGTTTCAGATGAAGTAAAGTAGCCAAAGCTTAACAAGATGTTGAAAGTTTATGATGAGTGTAAAAGCAGGAAATATTTAGGTAAAAACATGATTGAACTGATATTTACCATTAACTAGCAAAAAGCAAGCCCTAAGTAAAATACTCAGCAGATAAAGTTGCAAGGAAAGAAACCATTCATCCTTAGAAAATAGAGAAGCTGATTCAACCTTAAACATCAAAATTAAAGTATTATGATCATGTATTTAGTGCAAATATGCACATTGGGAATATGAAGATTAGAGTGATATTGGTATTTTAATTCTGTCAAGCAGCAATTTACAACTTGGTAGAAAAACTACCAAATTTAAGGCTGAAACAATTGAGAAGTTACACATTGAATATAAGAACAAGTGTTCTTATATTTTGAAAAAATATAAGAACAAGTGTTCTTACATTTTGGTGGCAAATACATTAAAGAAAGTGAATATCTGGTTATAGTACTTTAAAACAAGAGAAACAAAATAAAGCTTAATGTATTGTGTTTAGAAATGGCAAGGCTGAAACTGTTGCTGTAGGATTTGTTTGTTTAAAGATGGCAAGGTTGAAACTATTGCTGTAGGAGTTGCATAAGATGGTGACAGTTAAAATTGAATTTAATTAGTACTTATATAATTCAACAATGATTTTTTTGGTGCAACCAGTGTCAAACACCAGAATAAATAAGTTAAGTAGTTGCTCAAGATCATTAGTTATATATTCTTAGGTAAAGATTTTTTTAAATATTTTTCTGTTTGACAACTTCTTACTTTGGAATACATTATTTTGGTTTGTTCGTCACAATTTTTAAATTTACTATTCACAAGTTCAATAAAATTATCATTTTATTTCTTTGTAATTTTTTTAATTCAATAATTCATCAACTTTATCAAATAAATATAACAACTATGTTTTGTTACACTTTTGTTCGATATTTGCAGACCCCTCCCCCTATGAGCTTGTATACTTTGTGGATAACCTCTGAAGTATGACCCAATGGTAGTAGTAGGAGAAAGAGAGTTCTGCCTCGTTTTTATTTTTGACCATTTTTTTAACCATAATTTAAATTTTATTTTAGGTTCATTTTCAACCGTAACTGTATTATCATGGAGAGTTCTGTCTCATTTTTATTTTCAACCATAAATTTAATTTTATTCAACCATAAATTTAATTAAATTTATGATGCAATGTCATTCATAGTGTGTATAAATTGAATAATTAAGTAATTAATTTTTAAATCAATTTTTTAGATTTAAAAATCAGTTTTCAAATTAGTGTCAATTTCGTTTCTTATTGAAAATGTGTGACATCATCGGTCACGTGACTTGTCAGTGCGCATGCGTTAGATTTATTTTTTTATATTTTTTATATTTCTTTTATTTTTAAATTCGGTTAGTTCATGTCTTCTCAATTTCTCTAAATATATTATATAATTTTTTAATCTTTCTTGTTCTGTTAAATCTATTTTATTTTTATTATGTAATTTTGAAAGAATTGAAACCATTTTTTATTATGACAAGAAAATTATTTAACTCATTTCAAAAAAAAAATGTTTATTGTGTATATTTATATTTATATTTATTGTTTATATTTCTTATATTTTTCTTCTTCTTCCATTCTTCTATCACATTCTTCTATTCAATCTTGTATCAATATTACTTCCCATTTTTCTTGAAACCATTCAAATTCTCTTTCTATTATTTCGTCATATGTTGTATTTCTTTCTTGTCTTAATATTCTTTTTTTTCTTAATCTTAATTTTTCTTCTATTATACAAGCAATTTATCTTTGTTTTGTTGCTGCTATTCCTTGTATTATAAGTCTTTCTTCTATTTT